CACAATAACAAATTGATAATAGAGTGCTAACAAACAACTAATTAATATTCGCACAATAATAAAATAATAAACTATTATAGAGGTGGATAGTTCCTCTCAAAGAATAAAATTATACGCAGCGGAAATAAAAACAAAACGGAACAGCTATGGCGACTCCACTCCACAAGCAACTCGACCCGAACAAAGCCTAATCCTCCAGATCATCACCTTCATTGAAGTACTCCTCCTCTGACGAATGAATATTGCAATAATGAGCATATGACATACTCAACAAGCCACACAGCAAATATGCAAGTGCACAGGATAACAAAAGATGGCATAGTAAAGCTCATTTGCATAAACAGCATTTAATAAACATTTTAAAGAATAATAAAACAGTTGAATAATTAATCAGTATTAAATAAACACTATACAACACACCCGTGCTGCATAGGCCCAACCTCATCTGAGCAACCAACCCCGGTTGTACAAATCAAACCTCCATACCAGGAATATACCATTCCAAACCAAAAGTCAAATTAATTAACACAATATTATCATTAATGAATAGTGTGGGGCTAATCACGAAAAACATTGTTAAACTCACCCATAACCGCGGGCACGGCTATTCGAATAGTTTTACTCTGATCAGAGGTGTACCACTGTACCCACAAGACACAACTCCACAACATGTCATCATGCGCCTCAGTACCACTACGGTACCTTGGAAAGGAACTGTGACAATACCCCTCGCACAACACAACTCATCACAGTGCACCGTTCCTGGATCATGATCTCCCCCTCAAAACCAGAGGCAATGGACTCCCCAGCGACCCCCACAGACTTCTCGCCGCTTCACAGTCTGGCACACCATAATAAATCATGCTATACAAAAGATAAAGCCGTTGCCCATGCTGGCTTGTGGTTGGCACGGTAAATGTTTCACAACAGTAGCTCGCGAACCGGTCCTTAATTGTCATGAGCACAACCATCAAAACCATATGCTCACAACCCACCTTAATCAGGTTTTAGTTATCAATTAATTAACATAACACAATTAACCATTGTGAGCTACCATTAAATATAACCATAATTAATAATGTAGTATGATTCATCCCATTAATGAGCTAATGTTTCTAAGCATGGCTAAGCAATTATACATATAGCATCTAACTGAACCAATCCAATATATAAGGTACAAGCTAATCAATTTATTACCCATAGGAAAATAAAGACATCTTTGGCCATTAATTAATTGGGAAAGGCTCACCACCCGATGACATTCGAAAATAATGCATAAGTTAAAATAAAACATTAGCTTTAAACGGGTTCAACATGCTCAAAGGGTTGTTTGGGATCTATATTACTTGCCTTGAGCTTCCGCAAATGCTTCCGAACCTTCCTCAACGAAAACGCTCTCCTCCGGAACGTCGGAAACTAAAGCAAAAGAACAAAATCAACCAAAACAGTACAAAAACAAGCATAAACAGTACATGTGGATATTTTTAACATGTAGATCTCGATTTTAGAAAAATTTAGCAACTTGGACCACTCGAATCCGAGTTACGATGATTTAGTTATGAATTTCCGAAGTTTAATCGATTTGCATCTAATAAAGAAAACCTAGAAAAAGGGATTTATGACGTCATGATGACGTCATCACCGCCGGCCACGGCGCGGGCAACACGACCACCGGCGCTAGAGGGGTCGGCCGGGCTATCTAAGGCCATCTACACGTAGAGAACGACGACGCGAACTCACCGGTGCAAGAAAACGCGACGGACGACGATGAATGACGGCCGGCGACGAGGTCCTATGGCGGCGCGGCTCGGGTCAGCGACGGCGACGGCGCTACGGTGTCCGGCGACGGCGGCGAAGGGGCGGCCGAGCTTTCCCTCCTCCGTGCGCACTCGACGGCGGCGACGGCGCTAGCGGCGGTGCGGCACGACCGGAGGATCGCCGGCGACGGCGGCGGCTAGAGCAAAGCGGCGGCGGCGCTACAAGCGACGAGGGAGCTCGGGAGTTGGGGCAAACGGAAGAGGACGACTAGGGGAAGCTATTTATAGGCTTAGATTAGGGAGATCGGACTCCAACCGAGAGGAATCGAAGCCGGAAAATCTTCGGGTTAGTTTGGAGAGATAAACTCAAAACGAACTCGATTTGGTTTATCCGGGCGAAATTGGTCTCCGAAACCTTAGGGGAAAGGAAGAGGATAAGGAGGAGATGATTTCCCCTCAACTAATCGGACTCGGGGGCGACCGATAGAGGCGGATTTGGCAGAGGGAGGCGGCGGCTCGGGCTCGGCTTGGGCGACCAGCCGGCTGGAGGTAGGGGATGGCCCCGACATGTGGGCCCCACATGTCGGCGGCTAGGGGAAAGGAGGGGCAAGCGGGTCGGCTGGGCCGGCTTGGGCCGCTCGGCGCGCGCGAGGAGAGAGGGATGTTGGGCCAAATACGGCCCAACGGCTTAGAGGAGGATTTTTAAAACTTTTCCAATTAAAATAATTCGTGAAATGATGTTTCATTTATTAAAAATACTTCCCTTGCTCAAATAATTCCCAGAAAAATCTAGAAAATAGATAAACAAGCAAAGTATTTAATGAAATTTTATCTAGCTCAATTTTATGTTGAAATTTTTCTTAGATTATTAGAGTTTAACTTGTAGGCTTTAAAAGTAATTTCTAAAAATGATTTAAAATATGGATTATTAATTTAGGCGATTTTTAGGGCGTGGCATGAGATATAAAGCAATGCTAGTAGCTCAAGGTTTCACCCAACGGCCAACAGTTGATTACAAAGAAACCTATTCTCCGGTCATGAGCAGAATTACCTTTAGATGCGTAATCTCTATGGTAGTAAATTTGAATTTGGAAATGAAATTTATGGATGTTGTAATTACCTATCTCTATGGAACTTGGACACGGACATTCACATGAAGGTATTAGGAGATTTCCATGTCCCAAACCAAGACAGAGCAAGCAGGAATCTGTATAGTGTGCAACTCAAGAAGTCACTATACATATTAAAACAGTCAGGAAGATTGTGGTATAATCGGCTTAGCTATTTCTTAAGCAAAAAGGGCTACAACAACAATGAAGATTGCCCTTATGTCTTTATACGGAGATCCTAGGATGGAATTTGCATAATATTTGTATATGTCGATGATCTAAACATCATTGGGACACTCAAGGATATTGAAGAAGCAAGCTCATATCTGAAATCTGAATTTGAAATGAAATACTTGGGCAAAACTAAGTATTGCTTAAGCTTGTAACTTGAGCATACCCCCGAAGGGGTCTTAGTGCATCAGTCAATCTACACACAGAAAGTGTTAGAATGATTTGGCTTTGAAAAGACATATCCTTCTAAAACCCCTATGGTCGGAAGGTCACTCCAAGTAGACCAAGATCCGTATAGACCAAGAGAAGAAGGGAAGGAAGTCCTTGGATTAGAATATCCGTACTTGAGTGCAATAGGAGTGCTCATGTACCTTGCAAATTGCACAAGACCGGATATAGCATTTGTCGTCAACTTACATGCAAGGTACAACACAGAGCCCACCAAGAGGCATTGGAAGGGCATCAAGGACATCCTCCATTATCTTCAAGAAAGTAAGGACATGAAATTGTTCTACAGAAAGAACCAGGACCTCACCTTGGTAGGATATGCAGATGCTGGGTACTCTCTCCGTCCCAAAATAAGTGCAACCATAAGTTTCAATGTCCAATTTTAATTATCCGTCTGATTTCAAATTTTTTTTTGAAAAAAAATAAAAAACATAAGTCACGTATAAAGTACTATTCATGTTTTATAATCTAACAACGATAAAAATACTAATTATAAAAAAAATTCAAATAAGACAGATGACCAAAGTTGGACACGGAAACTCATGGCTGCACTTATTTTGGAATGGAGGAAGTACCTATCGAACCCACACACAGCCAAGTTGCAAACTAGTTATGTTTTCCTATATGGAGGAACAAAAATTTCCTAGAAATCGTCAAAGCAAAATCTAGTAGCAACTTCGATGAACCACTTGAAAATCATCGCACTATACGAAACCTCTCATGAATATGCATGGTTTCGTCGAATGATTCACCACATTTAGCAATCATGTGAATTGAACACCATCCAGACTCCTATAATTATCTATGAAGATAATGCAGCATGTGTCGCACAAGGACAAATGGGTTACGTGAAAAGCAATCTCACCAAGCATATATACCCCAAGTTTTTTTTATGCTCATGAACTGCATAAGACGAACGAAATTAAAGTATTGCATACAAGTCATGTGAAAATATCGTAGATTTATTCACTAAGTCATTACCAACATCCCCTTTTGAAAGGTGCATCTGAGGGATCGGGATGTTGAAACTTAGAGAAATGTAAAATTCAGGAGGAGAATTTCACTGACTCACTTGCCAAACTTAGTCCAGAATGACAAAGTACCTAATAAGAATAATTGGAGGGGTTGTACTCTTTTTCCCTTAGATAATTTTTCCCGCATTTCTTTATCAAGGTTTTTAATGAGGCAACCCGTGCAACACAAACCGTATGTTATGTACTTTTTCTCTATTTTTTTTCCACTGGCTCATTAAGGAGCTTTAATGAGGCATAAGCAATACATGGTGACGGCTCAGGAGAGTGTTGAAAAACTTGGCCAATGAACGCCCAATACACTAATCAGGCCTCACCCTACTTTACATGTATAAGAATTGGCTATATAAAGAAAAAAGAGGAGAGGCTTTATGTACCATGTATAAGAATTGGCTATAAAGAAAGAAGAGGAGAGGCTTTATGTACCATGTATAAGAATTGGCTATATAAAGGAAGGAGAGGAGAGGTTTTGTGGACAGTTGAAAGAATGTGAATGACAATACTGTACCCCTTCTCATATCTCGTATCTCCAATTTTCTGTAGATTACATAACCCTCAATAACTACTTCAGGTAGCAGAAGCGTTGCGTAATAATTTGGACTTCCATCAGTTACTACAAAAGATCATCTCCAGACACGCACACGCGAAACAAGCGCTTATATCTCATTGCAGCAGCACAAAACCTGATGATATTTACACTTGTAGAGTGAGAGTTACAGTGAGCAGTTTCTCAAACCAACAAAAACGTAAATGGAAAACCGAGAAACAAGAGAGATATTTACATTTGCACTACTCAGTAATCACCACCAAATTTATGTACAAGAGCCACCGAGCCAAGCTCCCTGTGACCCTCTCTCTCTAGCCAAATCCTAAGCAAGGAGTCAACAAAACTTCCACCCGCTCCGGGTGGCCACGTTTGTGATTACAACCGTGATCGTGTGCTAGTAATTTACAGTATGAAGGTTTTCGACGTGGCATCTGAAACTGTACACCTGCAGAGGAGATGGATTATGAACTCCAACAAGAACATCGGAGATGGCACTGATTCACAAATGGTTGGATTGCTAGTGTGGAAATCTGACTTATCCTGTACAAGTTTGCCCACCACCCTTTGATGAGATTGCACACATGTGCTCTTGAACCAGTTCTTCCAGGTAAATACGAGATCTCGCAAAAGAATGAACAGACCACCTCTTCTCAATGGAAGTCTACAATTGAGGAGGCCCGTGGTATTTGTACATAGATTCTTTCTTGCGTTCAGGATCAAGGCTGTGAATGTAGAAGAAAAGAAAATATTAGCAAACCAACATTAGCAGTCTGTGGTCATGCCAAAAATGAAGTATGCTCAAGAGTTGTAACATTCGCATAGGACAAATATGTATTTTCACCGATGCTGATCGGAAGAGAACTCAATTCCACTAATATTATAAATCAAACCAAGATCACAATTAGATTTTTCTGTAGATTGTTCCATAGTTACCTAGTCAGTTGCCTAGCCTAATTCATGCACATTATTATTTTTGCAATTCGTAAGAGCCTAGTTAAAAATCATTGGTTACAAGTTCTCCCAGTTAAGTGAGCTTGTGTCAATGTAGGGAATGCCAAGCACCTTCTGACCCTCATAAGTCCTCGGTGTAAATAAACTGTTTTTGCTCAAACACATATTTTACCCAGAGTAACAAATAGTTTTATCAGTGCACAGACTGATAATATTTAGGACGATAAATCAACTATATTCTCATTCTTTTGCATAGATATACATTTTTCATTTGGGGCAAGTCAGTTACAGTTATTTAGCTACGAAGTTTTATTGATTAATCCTAAGCTGTCCAGATCCATGAACTTTGTTACCTTCCGTTGCTAACTTCTTCCAGTTCCAACAGAAGACAAAAATATACTAATACAGTAAATTGCAAGTCAATATATTTCTATTTTCAAATCTTTTTAATATCTATTTGTATTACTCCCTCCAATCTCAAATAGAAAACTATTCAGAATTTGTGCAATCAGACCTTGAGATCTTGCTCACCATTATATGGGGGAAAAAAGAGAGAGGAGATTTTATTTTTTTATTTTTATTTTATAAATACTACCTCCGTTTCATCATATTATAAGTCGTTTTGATTTTTTTTCCTAGTCAAACTTCTTAAAGTTTAACCAAGTTTATAGAAAATTTTAGCAACAACTACAACACACAATTAGTTTCATTAAAACTAACATTTAATATATTTTGATAATATGTTTATTATGGATTGAAAATATTTCTATCTTTTTTATAAACTTAAAAAGTTTGACTTAAAAAAAAGTCAAAACGACTTATAATATGAATCGGAGGAAGTATATGATTACAAAATGTAATAACTCCATTTTTTAATAGATGACGTCCTTGACATTTGGAATAACGTTTGACCATTTGTTTTATTAAAAAAAATAGTGTAAATATGCTAAAGTATAAATCATACTTTCATGATAAAACATGTCACAACAAGATAAATGATATTTATATAAATTTTTTGAATAGGACAAATGGTCCAAAGTCAACGGTGTCATCTGTTAAAAAACAAAGGGAGCATTATCTAACATGTGCATGGAGACTTTGCTGATATATCATAAATAAACAAGTAAAAAAAGAAAACAAGTTAGATTAGAAAATACAAATTTTTATGCCATGTTTTGAGTCTAGCTGATGGTCTCATGTCACATGTGAAATGTGATCAGAAAAACTTAGTCCTATTGCATCGAGTAAATGATAACAGAACAGACCGAGGAGTCAACAGTGAGTTGGGAATGGTCTGGACTGATTTAAGAATTCAAAATAACCGTAGAGCTTCACAATGTTTGCTGATTTGAGGTTTGAGGATGAGTGAAATCACCTATTCCTTATACCAAGAAGTGTATAATGTGCAGCACGAAAAGACGCTGATAATGGAGCCACTGCAGCACCTGGAGCTCCACAGATTGCAGTAGCCAAAGCTGATCCGGCACCAGCCCCACGATTATAAACTTTAATAGGATTTCCAATCAAAGCAGAGGCAGTCCTTCCAAACCCATCGGTCAAGCTTTCATATGCCTGAAAAATGTTCAGCATATATTGAATTATTGATAATTACACAGCAAATGAAACTTATACTGGCAGTACTTACCATATTGATATAGAAAGTAAACGCAAATCACAAACAAAAATAGAATTGCAAATAGTTAGGTTAAAGCAACATGTTATTAGCAGACAACAGATGAGTTCATCTCAGAAAAGATGAGTTCATGTGCAATTTGGATGAATTCAATACCTTCTTCAGCCCTTCTTGCGCACTTTCAGGCTGGTTAGCTCTTACATTGTCTTTGGTTCTTTTTGCTTCACGTGAGGCTAAAGGTGGTGGAATTGCTGTAAGGGCACTTTCTGTCTTTAGAAGCATATCATGAGCTCCTGCCGCCAAATGTACACCAAGCCCCACAGCTTCAATGGAAACACTTCTAATGAAAGCAACCGCACCTGTCAATCACCATCAAGTGTAATCAGGGATGCATGACATCAAGAATTTCACAATACCATCATATATTAACACATCAACAGAAATGTCAAACAAAATATTTCAGCATAGTAGTGCAGCTATATGTGGCTTACCTCTTTGCATTCCCTTGAGCAACTTCCGATCCTTCTTATAGCTCTTTATGGGTAAAGAGACCAATTTCTTAGTGCCTGAACTCACAGCAACTAATGATTTTATAGGTGGAAGCCCTTTTAACAATTTATGGACCTAAACAAGGAACAGATTGTCGATTTGGATGAGAATAGAAAATTTTTGAAACAAATGAGAATAGAAAATCATCTGTAAGACAGGAAGATATAAGATTCTCCTTTTTTGTGAAGAAATAGTGTATGCCAACATGCAAATTTTAAATTCTCTCTTATAGCATTGCATGTCCTGAATCGGTATTGGTGTACACAACAGCAGGCATCTTTAATATAAATGTAAGATATGTGTGGGAAGATTAGGACCTGATTTTTTGAGATGTCCTCTAACCATTCTGCAGCTACTATTTCACATATATTATTGAAACCATAAACACCCATGGCAGAAACCTGCTTCAGCTTTAAATCAATTCCCTGCACAGCAAATTTAGTATCAGGGTTGCCTACAAAGATACGACTGGCTATGATGTATAGTTCTGAACAATGAATTACCTTCCATGGAAAAATGTTGAGAAGTTCTGCATAATTTCCTTTGCTAAGTGCAACAGGATCAAAATGCCGAGGAATATAATTAATGTGCAGAACAAGAGGCTTCACATCAAATTTCTAGCATCAAAAGAAATAAATTAGACCATAATATTGTTTACTAAACAAAGAAGATCCATGCTGCTAATTAGTAGAAAAATTTTGAAAATGAAAAGAAACTAATAGTTGCTGTAAAAACAATTGTTAAAATATATCAGGTAAAGTAGGAGAAAAAAAATTAAAACCATATGTCCATCTCAAGTACCATGAGTGGGGAAAAAAAGAGGAAATAAAAACTGAAAAACTTCAAGATACCTGAAAGAAAGGAAGTAATGCCTCATCAGCAATTGTATCGCTTCGATACATTGTACTCTGCGCGTCAATATTCTCATTTTCGCAAGCCAAATTAGGGTTGTTGCACAAGTCATTCTGGAAGAAACTGATAAGGAAGTTAAGTTGCCCTTGATCAAGATGCAACTGTAGAGGCAAAATCTCAAGATGTAACCTGAAATATTTAGGATAGTGCAAGGAAATCAGTCATCATACTGAGTCTAAAATAAGTACCAAAAATAGAGAGTAGAAAAAAGACACCAGTACTCAAACTCACTTATACTTCAGCATTCAGATATGGTATATGGACACAAAATGTGTGTGGAGCAACGGCTAAAGGGCTAAAGGGCAAAAGGGTGAAATAATATCTGCCAAAAGAACCACGCATGCATGATTTTTTTTTATTTGGATCTGCCATCTTCTATGCGTTTCTTTATTTTACATGCACTCAAGTTAAACTTGTTGACGTGTGGGGTGTATAGCCAACTCAGCTCAGTTTGTTAACCTTAGAGAACTAAAAGCCTAGCTTAGCTCGGCTCACAAGCTAGATCGTTAAGCTCGTTAACAAGCTCTATCTCATTTGTATCACCATTATAATTTTAAATTTACCATTTTATCATATACTAACATGATAAAAAACACTAATTAATAAAGGACCTTCATGTTCTATCTGCTATTTTACGTTACTCCTTGAATTGGACTTGAGGGTACAGAATTGCGATCAAAGTGCAGCAGTACACAAACACTGGATTTATATCGAATCCAGAAACATAAATTCATCATAAAAGAGCTAATTATTACATTCAGAAATGTGCCTCTATTGTTCAGCTCAGACTCATCATCTTGCATATTACCATGTGCTGAGGTAAAAAAAAAAGTCAAATAGCTGGGTACACTAGAAATTATTCCTGCAATATGATCTGTAATGTGGAACCTAGTCCACTACATAGGTTTTTTCCTACATCTACCTGGGCAATGAGTGCCTTCATACATCGAGGGCACAAAAAGGTAGCCTTGTAGTTTCTTTTAACAATGCAAGCCCATTAAGTATGAGGCAAACGCAATGTTCACTATGGATTAACAGAAACAAGCAAAATCACAAATGTTTTCTGATAGTTTAATTCAGTGTAAAGAAACACCATATTTACCTGTAATCTTCCAAAGGAGCCTGTGGTTCAGGTCTTACAGACTCCAGTTCTAACATGAATGCACTAGAACAAGATTCTCTCGGGTAATCCTTTGAGTTGTAGCAACCAAGAACCTTTGATTCGAAAATGGATAGAGGATTTAGAAACCATTAGTCCAGTGGTAATAGTAAATTCTAGATAATTTGGACAGAAAAATGCATACCATTTTCCATGGAGCATGTGTACTTTGGTCGCAAATATTGATGTCTTTGGCAGAGATGGATAGCTTAGAAACAAAAATATCCCCATCTGGATACATATTGAACTGGATATTGAGCGCAGACATAATAAACTCTAAATAAGACCTCTTGTCTCTGCCATTTGAGCACGGCCGGCTAATCGTATCTTTCTGAGCTAATTTCCAGTCATTTCCCTCGTACATCCGCCACTTGACATCTATATCATGAATAAGAACCTTTCCTTTCAGACTGCACGATTCATCAGAATTCAAGATGAAAATAGCAGGCTTCAGTTTTTGTTGAAATATTTGCTCTTCTCGTGGTTTGTTCCTTTGAACATGGTTTTCATCTATTGTGGGAAAATTATTATACCATTCACCTTCGTCACACTCTACGGTTCTAGGAGCACAATTGCCCTGGTCTTCATTGTATAGAGTTGATGATGACGAAGGTGGCATATAATAAGATTCAATTATTAGATCATCACTAGTACTGGCTTCAGGGGTAACTAGTAATGATTCAAGTGAAATACAGGCATCATTTGCCTCTGGGATGGCCTTACTCAGGCCAAACTCTTCATCCATTTCGCTACCACTCAATGAGTAGCTTGCGAAGTCCTGGTCAGTGCAAAAGGCATTCTCAATTATATCATCAAGCAAACCATCTGACTTGCACTCCTCTGAATCTGTCAGATTATCAATGCTACTCTCTGACTTTTCTGACACATCAGTGCCCATATTTTGCTTGTTTGCCTGTTGGACACTATTCCATCTGGATTGTAGATGATCTAAAGCATCCCGCATATCTGGAGCATATAGCTGCTGAAGCTGGGAGCACAATTGAATAACACCATGTGTCGTATCGTGACAAGTACCAATATCGAATTGCGAGTCTGATAATTCGAGTTTCCAAAAGGAAGTATCAATTCTTAGAACAGCTTCAATGAATGTATTCTGCACAATCTTAGCATAGCCCATCCGACGGAGGTAATCTGCACCATAGCCACAACTGACATTTTTAAAACTAGAGGATCCACAAATGAGAACCCCGAGATCTCGCAGCTCGATATCAAAATCAGTAGCTGTAGAGTTTGATGCAGATTTGCTGTGAAGTTTAAACAATGATGCAGCTAAAAGGCATGAAAAGTATTTGCAGTCTGGAGTTTCAGCGCTGAGTGCAGAACTTCTGAAATGAGGTTCATAGCTCACAGCAACATCAACCAGCTCAAGAAAGAACAGTGATGAAAAAGGTTCACCACCCTGGGAATCGTTCATTGTGCTACTATTAGCTGGTTGTTCAGTTCCATCTGAAGCTGAACTAAACAATAGGCAAATCGCGCTTATCCAATCCATGCGGCCACCAGGTGCAACGGCTGTTGCAGAACGAACATTGATAGAAGTATAATTCTTCTGAAACTTTGGGTTCATGATATGAGTCACAGAACAGCCCGCAGTTCCAAAAGACAAGATATTGCTACCTTCACCATCACCTCGTCTACTTGCCGAATCCTTGCAAACAACTAGAAGAACATCTTTGCTTTCTTCATAGTCATCCGTACCAGTAATAGAGCCCCAGAGCTCACCTTCACCATGATTGACCCAAAGAAAATTGGCATTGTTAACCCCGCCAACATTAGAAGAGGATAGCAGAGAAAATTTTGAAATTGACAATTTGAGACAGTTCCAGGAACCTTCTAGTTCAGTCTGCAATAAAGGACCAACTTCAACAGTTTCATCCAATTCAGTGCAGATATCCAAGATGCTGCATTCAAAAATGACAGATGTTTGGCTAGCAGTATCATGGATTGGCATACAATTGTCACTGTCATTTTCAAAATTTCCAGTTGCTCCATCTGAAAGACCATCAAGGATGTTTTTTAGCAAATGGTTTAGTATCCCACAGTCCTTCTTACTGAGATGAACTGAGACACAAGAAAGTTTAATGTGCAACAAAAACTCTGTGCTCCGGAGGAGCTCCCTGCGTATACTGGAACTTGATTCCTCAAGATCTTCTGAGGTTGTAGAAGAGGAAACACCAACCCATTTACCATTTTTGTTCTGAGCAATCTTTTGCTCATGCAGGTTTGGCAAACTCCAAGTTTTGCTCACCATCTCAGGGTCTTTTAAAGGATACTTCTTCCAGAGCATCGTAATGCCAGTTTCATGACAATTGGATCCGGTAACAGAGAAAATCTTCAGAGAAGAGAAAGTTTGCCTACTCAGAGAACAGGTTCTAGCATTCAGTTCATCATTAACTGGTCTAACCAAATAGATGTCAAAGTTCCCTGTAGCCAAATGGACCAAAGTAGATGGTGTGATTGCATTGACATCATTAGGCATTTCATTTTGATGTGGAGATGAATCTGCTCCTGATTTCAGAGATGGTGTGTGGTCAATGACAAGGAACTTATCCAGCATGGATGGGCAGCTCAAATCCCATGATTCAGAAGGAAAGCAAAAGATGACTCTTGCAGGCGACAGGGCTATCTGAACCTTTTGGCTTCCTCCCAAAGAAACATTTGACTTCATAGACAAATTGACATTTTTTTCGTCATTCTTCCTATGAATTTTATCCTCCCCATGCAAAACATCAGACTCGATTTTACTGATAAAATTCAGTAGCATATATATTGTGTGAAAGTGCACCCAGCAAACCAAAGGAGCCAAACAGACTGATAGTGAAGTTGAGCTTACTGGGTTGCCATCTTGACCTGAGGAACTGACATCATAGTGGAATACGCACTCACCAAACGTGTTTAGCAATTCGACCTTAGTGAGGTCATTTGAATTGTTGGTATGACGGCGTGATGTTTCCTCATGGTAATCTTGATAAGCAAATACAGATTGAGGGAGAGAAGCTTGAACTTCTCTGCAAAAATTATTGTTCAAGAAAGCAGCACCAAGATTTGGATGATCTGAATCATTGTTCTTACTGCCATAGTATTCATCAAGCTTTATAGCAGCAATTGATCCCTTGAGACTTAGGTTTTCAGGATATGTCTGCAAACATCAAGAACATAACATTAGAATCAAGCTTCATAAAATTAGGAGATATAAACTACGAAAAAGTGCTATTGGTGGAAGCAGACCAGACCTCCAGGGAAAGATGAATGTTCTGACACTTGGCTTCAACGTGATGCATATTCAAGCTGGCAGCAGGAGCAGGAGATATCATTGATTGCTCAAAATGTGCAAAGGAAAGGCAGCTTGAAAACATTTCAGAATTTCTCATGTCATTGAATTGACTGATAGGAACACTGGAATTGCCAGCATCCATTTCATCACTGAACAAAAGAACAACAGATATCTCAGCAATGGAAGCCCGCAAGGTTTTCTCTATCGGCGGTTCTGTTAGGAAATGAAAAGGAAAAATAAGTAACAAAGTGATGCAATATATAAATGTTCTGATAATTTAGCCAGAAAAAGTAAAACACTGCAGATACTTGGTTCAATGCCAGAAATACATCCAACAGATATTTGGACATGCTTGATAGGTTTGCTAATAGCAAGAGAATGGAGAGAATTCATTACTCGTAAGTTGCATCTGTTGATACCAGACTGTTACTGTATCTTAGAACATATAACATCTGTCATTATTCATAAGCCAACATAACCTAGCATGTGTACCTTTTACCTGACCTTCATTCAAGAGATAACAGTAATTTTCGTTTTTCTGCATGTTTCAAGTATTCAGTTCATGCAGTATGGTTTTGTATAAGGTGGACTAGTCCAAGGTAGGGATGGTACAATAATAACTTTAAATTGTACCGTGCAGTTTCATTGGTGAGTATCAGTGCTATTCCCTGAGTATCACCAGTGTAATACCAACTAACAGGAGATGTTTTCAGTGGATCAATGTATTATTACTACACACCAGACAAAACTGTTATTTTAACCAGTGGTCTACAACATTTTCCTTTCAGTCTACTCAGGAGCTAACAGTCAAACATTGTCTTTCATGGAAAGTGCAAAAGATCCTGCTTGATATGAATGATGTTCAAGAGTAAAAGAAAATTGAAGCTGAAGAACATTGTCCAAGAATACTCCACAGGAAAGAGTGTCAGGAGAAAAAAATATGTGGTAAACAGGCACAATAAGAACAATAAATAAATCCATATGATAAGGGTTCTGTATCCCTGCAAGAGAAGTGTATAATGTGGACAACCAATAGAAAATTGAAAGGTTTAAACCATAGTACCTTTAGGAATTTGATCTGATCCAGAAGCTAAAGTGGATACAAAGGTAATTGCATTGAACACTGAACATGTCCAATCCCATATGCCACTGTTTCCCAGATTAGTCTGGGAGTTCATCAGTTCCTCAAAACATTCAAAGAACTGGTCGATGCTGTCCAAGATAACAACATATTAGTAGTGTAGTTATGTATATTCTTTATTTGGTTTAAACAAACTGCTTCCCGTAAGAAATTTAAAGGCAAGTAACTTAGCAAGAAAATAGCTTGCACAAGCACCCAAAAATGTTTTTCTTTTTTTTGCACGGAAAGAAAAGGAGGATTTGTCCATGGTCAACCTTCAAGAGTACATAGTATATAACGAAGATGGGGAGAAAAGTTCTGTGTAATACATCTGGCCAAACCTATTCATGGAAATACAAATGGGAGGCAAATGCATTTCATTTCAAAAATTATTTATTTGACAACAGTTCTGTCAAAAGTATACTCTTGATGAAATGTCTATATGTAAAAAAGGATGGCAGTTGCAAAGGTGCAGTGAATATCATTGAACTTTCATGAAAAGAAAGGAAGATGAAAAACAAAAAGGAACAAACCTTTCATCACAAACTGAATCAGGGTCACCGTGATCCTCATGGATAAGCACTGGAATCCAGTCCGGAATCAAGTATGGCATAGTCAGGGAAGGCTCTTGTGTTTTTTCTTGCCTGAGTTGAGAAAATGTGTCCTCTGTCAAATGTTCCCTGCTAGCTATCACAGAACCTGAACCTGATTTTGAAGAGCTTGATACATATGAACTGGCAGATCTAGATATGTCTGCGGTATTATGGGCATAACTCTGTTCATGTACTAGATTTCTTCTTTGGAGAGAATCCCACACATCCATGAGCCATTGGATACTGCTCAGTTGTAACCGCAATTCTAATGAATTAAGAGATATATCTGCATCAAGTTTCTTAAAGTTCAAGCCATTCCATGGGATGCTTAAGTTCAATTTCCCTGAGAATCCACCGATAGGACCTGTCAAGACCGCGGTAGTGCTATGACCTGATGAAATGTCTGCTGGTCCTCTATCCAAATCATCCTGAAGAAGTGCATGCGCATCAACATCATCCATCTTCAAAAACTCAATGACCGCCTCATGGAATGTCACAAAATTGTGAAGTTTGATTATACCATCTGTTGAAAGATTGGTTCCAAATTCGGTCTCTTTGATTCGGAAAACCAGTGATCGATTAAATTCTGGGACCTTGTTATCCAAAATGTTTTGAGGATCAAATACAACATAAGAGTTTTTTAACTTGATGTTAAAGTTGGTAAGAAAACATGTGACAGCATTAGCTATCCTCTGGACACCTTTGTCGACATCTCGAGATGCAGAGGTAGAACACTGATTGCCATCAGATTCATTTCTTTTGGCCTGGACTGATTTCTGTGTGTCGTCAGTATTACTACCAGAAACAGAGCATTCAGTATCACCAGAAGGATCTTCGCTAGAAACAGATGCAGCAAGCACAAGTTCCAAATCCTCCACGACAATCTCGCAACAGTCGCGCATGTTTAATAGTAGAGGAATTCTAACTAGCAGGGATTTTATCGATCCTTCCTTCATCATGATAGCAGATCCTGACAACTGGAAAGGGAAAAAAATAGAACTGTTTTAATAAAGTAACTGGAAAACCCAAAATCTAGTGGGTTTCACAAGTTTTGCGGTATAAGTTTCTATTCAAGTATGCAACACTTGTGAATGAACAAATGTATCATATTGGGCTACCAGCAGCGCCATGATCCTCATGGATCGCAAAATGTTGAACATAGATGTGTCTTTAGTGGTGAATTCATGCACATATAAGAGGACTACTGTATGCTACTCACCACAACAAATCAGGTTAGCAGAAAAGAACAATCACCTACTCCAGCTTTGATACTTTCTGTTAACTTTATTGTATTCTAGAAGCTTTGCATTCAACATAATTTACAAACATTACACTGTATCGGATTAGTCCCAACACTCCAACTGAAAAAGGTGAATTGCAAATAAGCTTTATAACCCCTTCTCCACTTCTCCTAAACCCTAATACTCTACCTGCGATCATGAGCTTTAGCCATGAAATGAACACAAATAACCCTGAACTGTACCCATACCCGAGGTTACTGATTGAAAGGAAAAAGCCTTCCTTTTTTTTCCTGCGAACAGATTATTTCCTCTGCAACAAAAAATTCTAGACCAAAATTTCAAGCCCACACTCTCATGCTAGCAACCAATCGAGATCAAAATCATACAGAGTTGAATCCACCAAGCAACTAAACAGGAAAATTCTTTTTTCTAACAAAAACAAAAAAAAACAAAATTCCCATCCCCAAACACCCAATTCCCATCTCTGCCACCAGAATTTCAACCTCGGGCAAATAGCACACTAATCACGACGGGCGGGTGCATCCTAATCGAACACACGGGTCGGGGCACGAGATAGAGAGAGAGGGGCTCACCTTGCGGTTGACGAAGTCGGCGTTGAGGGCGATGTCGGAGAGGTGGAGCGTGCCGCGGGTGAGCTGCAGGTCGAACTGGTCGAGGTCGAGGTCCCCCAGGATCAGATCCCCGAGCCGCTTCTTCAGCAGCGACTTGCACAGCCGCTTCATCATCGTCCTCACCCATACCCCCGAGAAGAAATTCATGTCTCGCCGCCTCGTTTGCTCCCACCCCAACCCCCACCCTTCCCACCACCTCTTCTCTAGATGTACCGGCGGGATACGCCTCGCCGGCGGCGGCGGCGGAAGGAGGAGGGGAGGGGGTCGCCGGTGACGGCGGAGTTTGGGGGTTGGCTTCGTTTCGTGCGAGGAGGGTATTTTTTTTCCCTTTTTTCGGATTAGACCTTGCGTGTTGTGAATATGTTGCGTCCTGATCCCCGGGAAGAAGGCCGCGCTGTGTTAACTTTGCGTGTTTTTATATATAAGCCGCCGCCAAGGTCGAGTCACTGTCCGGTGGGGCCTACCTAAATCGGAGGAGGACAGGAAGGTTATTTGGGTTGTGTTGTAATGCAAACGGTTTTTTATGTTTGTTTGTCTTCGTGATTTGAGTTTCTGTTTAATTAGAATTAGAATACGGTTTTGCGTGTGTTTCAGGATGGAGATCGATCAGGGCTTTATCTATAGTTAGGGCGTATCCGACCGGAGTGCAAAGTAGCATGAATTATTTATAAATAATAATACCTATATTATGAAGAATAAAAATTTATATTTATGGCACCAAATACTCTGATAATATAATATATTTGAACGTAAATTCTATAACGTGAGGCCTCTCGATCTAGTCTTACGCAGCGACGCCTGGCGCGGCCATCCGATTTAGTCGAGAAGCATCAGAGTTTAGAATTTGAGAGAAGCATCGTAGTGTTAGGCATCTATGTCTTTTTCTCCCTTCTTATAAAATTTTCTTTCAAATTACTTATCTGATCTACAATCCGATTACACCATTGTATTTGTTGCAATTAAATCTTTATAATAAGATCTCACATGATTATATTATGATGAAAAATTACAAATTACTTTTATAATATATCTAAATTATTTTTAGATTTCACTAAAGTACTTCTTGGACATATAAAAGTAAATTTAATAAAGTCTAAAAGTAATTTACATATATTATAATAGAAGTAACTTAAGACAAAAGGAAAGTAACTTTGTCATAACATTAGAAGTAAATCTGTTGTAAGGATAAAAACATAACTCTATCTAGAGACTAAATTAATCAGCACAAATTATGGAATTGACTAAAAACAATAATAAAAGTAACCACCTCATAGCATTATGAATGTATAGGAAGTAATTTAATCAAATCTAAATCTAAAAGTAATTTATATATATGATAAAAGTAACTTAGTATATAATAAAAGTATTTTACAAACATAAATATTTTTTCATCATAATATAATCATATAAGATCTTGTTGTATAAATTTAACTGCAACGAACACAACTGAGTAATCGGATCTTAGATCATATAAGTATTTAAATGAGGATGCATGTGGCAGGTGCTACTACTTTTAGTAAGAGGGGTAATGAGTTGATACACACTGTACTATTTTTGGTAAAAAAGGATGGTCGCTGGTTAGCACTAACGAGTGCATGCGCTCCCTGTAGTCGTGTCCATATTTGTAATTTATTAATGAAAATACAAATTGATAAAATTTAAATTTGAATAGTGCAAGTATCAATTATTCGAGATCAAAGGGAGTATATATTACTATTTGGAATTATTATTTCAACAAAATTAATGATAAACAATAAAGTATCTTTTTAAGATTCGGAGGAATTGAGAGGATATGCATGCATAGGTGCAAAGTCAAGGGTAATAAAATGTTCCAAACTATACACTATAAGCATGATTGCAATCCAAATGAGACATAATACCGCGTAAATCATTCTGATAAAAAAAAAACAATTTTGCAAACCGTCAAAAAGAAAAGAGGCTTCAAGACTTCAATATGTTACTTATTACTCCCTCCATTCCGCATTGATCATCACATAAGTTTTTTCACCACGACCAAGAAAGATTTGACTTCTCTACATTTTATTTCATGTGAATATGTAGTGGAAAAAATCAAGAAATATACATAGTTTAACTCCCCGCTAGGGCTGTCAATGAACCGAGCTCGAGCGAGCTCGTTTGCCTAAGCTCGAACTCGACACAAGCTCGAGCCGAGCTCAAGCCGAGCCTATTGCACCTTCGAGCTTTTAGGCAAGCTCGATTCGAGCTCGTTCGAGCTTGAGCTCGGCCATAAGTAGCATAATATATATTTTAATGATAATCTCTTGATAAGTATAATTATTTTCTAGTTAATCGCAGTAATAAAAGAGTAGAAAATGACTAAAATAAATATATTGTGCTAACACATGCTAATTTATTGTGTAAATAGATACTAATATATATATTTATCTATTAGTTTATTATATCAATAAGGTGAGCATGCAATATAAACTATACACAGCCAAGCTCGGTTAAGCTCAGTAGAAGCTCGAGCTCGGCTCGGTAAAGCTCGCGAGCTTTTGCTCATGTGCTACTTTCAATAAAAATTTATCAGAAAACCTACACCACGACATCCCGTGGAGACGGGATCCCCTCCTCCTACCTCACTCCTCTCCCCAAAATCATCCGAATCCTCTCCTCCTACCTCACTCTCCTCCCCCAAATCACACAGCACTGCAGCCCTCCCTCTCCCTCTCCCCCCCCCCTCTCTCTCTCTGAAGAAGACCGAGCGGAGACGAAGCCGGCCGGGAGGAAGGGGTCGTCGTCGTCGTCTCCGGCGGCTGAGGAGGACGACGACGGCACTGCGTCGGCAAGGTCGGCCAACCCTCGGCGGGGTCGCCCTCGAGCTCGCCTCCCCTCGCTGCGCCGCTCTGGCTCGCCGCCCTCGTCGGGTCGGGTGTGCGCCGGGGAGTCATCGCCCCGGGGAGGGAAGAAGCGGGAGCTCCCCTCGTCCTCGCCCTCGGCCTCGGCGTCACTGTCGTCCCCGCTGCGGCCTGCCGCTTTTGCGCCTTCGGGATGGACGCTGACAGCCCGCGTCGACCTGCAACAGGTATGGCCGTCAACCTCCTCCTCGGCTCCTCCTCGAGACTTCTCGCGCTCTCTGGCTTGGGCCTCACCCCTCACCTCGCCGTGCCTCCTCGACGCCATCCTCCGCCGTTGCGGCCCTCCCTCCCCCACGTCTCCTCCTCTTTTTGACAGTACCCTTTGATACCCCACAAGTATCAGGCTTGATACCTTGGTACCAAGGTTTGATACCTAGGTACCACCCAGTACCTTAGGTACCAGGCATCAGGTATCGGTTGATACCTAGTCGGTACCAGGTACCAGGTACCAACCGATATCTAAGGTACCAGGTACTAGGGGAACACACGTCCCTCACCTCGCCATGCCTCCTCGACGCCATCCTCCGCCGTTGCGGCGCTCCCTCCCCCACGTCTCCTCCTCTTTTTGACGGTACCCTCTGATACCCCACAAGTATCAGGCTTGATACCTTGGTACCAAGGTCTGATACCTAGGTACCACCCGGTATCTTGGGTACTGGGCATCAGGTATCGGTCGATATCTAGTTGGTATCTAAGGTACCAGGTACTAGGTACCAACCGGTACCTAAGATAGCAGGTATCAAGTACCAACCGGTACGTAAGGTACCAGGTACTAGGGGAGCACACGTAGACAGAGGGAAGGAAAAAGGAGAGTCACTTAAAATATTTCGTAAATATTCCGTTGCAACGGTATCCCGTGGGCTAGCAGCCCTCAATTTTATTGATGTCACGGATCTATTGTTAGCCTCCCATTCTTTGAGTGTATGAATTCGTGAATACATTCTTTGAGTGTATCTAGTGTCAGCGATGTACTCGTGAATACAGTGTACATGAATAATTATTTATGCATGGCCACGCCTTCCACATAATAAAAAATATCACATTATTGACTTACTCAATCCATCACATAGGAAAAACATGAGTTGCTATGTCATTTCTAAGGCTTTCCTTGCACTCAATTCCTTGCAGATAAGATTTGCCAAAGGAAAAATATTCCCAGGGGTGTTTATCTAACAAAGAAGTATTGACAGGGTGCAAAGCAAATAAAACAATCAGGTCACCTTTTTTTTTCTCTTTTTGTTTGCAAAAGGATAGGGGCTGAGGTGGACCTGGATACGAAAAAAACGTACCGTGTTTGCGAAGGATTCTCCGTTGTAACGGAGAGAGACGCCGTTACGGTTTTTTCCGAGACCCACGGTGTCCCTCTCAGCCTCCGCTGGGTGGTGGGCCCGTCGCCATGGGCTTGGGCCCACCTTTATCCACACACCACACTTACCTGTCGTAAGAGTCGTGGTCAACAGCTAGGGGACCCAAAGCTGAGCCAAAATTACACCGTGCATCAGCTGACGTTGGTGAAAAATTTGGTTATTTGGTTTTGTCAGGTAGAGATAAAATCACATAGAGTATTAGTGAGAACAAGGTATTGTGATATTGTCACGGCAATCATGGAAAGAACAAGCAATTGATGCTTAGATGTTTAGCCTGTGTTGTTGTGCTATATTTGATTTCATAAGCCTAGTCATTGTGAAAACAATAACTTATTAAATTCGTAACCGTTCTACGTATCAAATTAATGCCATTGATCCCATCCAATTGTAATAGTTATTAGAAAAAAATATTGAGGATATAGATTTCATTTTTAAGAATTTGCTTTTATACATACATAATCGTAGAGAATTGAGAAAATATACACATCCCACGGAGCGAAGACATGGGTGGGTCAATCGGCGCGGCGTGAAGCTGCAGGACCGACAACGAGGACGGTGGTACCGTTGCTCAACAGCGTGATACCAACTCCACCCTGCGCCTCGGCTGCGGGGCAGTGGGTTAGTCCTGTGGCCCAGCAACGCGGGACCGAAGGTAGCAACAGTCGGGACGGCGTAATACCCAATCGATTCCATATCAGATATAGCTCCGCACCACTAGGTCTACATGTCATCTCAAAACCTTTTTTTTTTGTTCAAAATGGATTCAAAGTTTCAGAAACCATGCAGATTGCAGCATATTATAATCTTGTTTAGTCCGGGGTAGTGAAGTTATGATGCATCATGATAACATGTGCTCTTCACATAAAAAACCACTTGTAGTTAGCTATGTCCAAACTTTTTTTTTACGGAGGGAGTAGGGATTAGAAACTCGGTAGAGATAGATGAACTGAGAAAATCAATATGCATCAGTGTATTAAGATTCCCATCGTTTCCTCCATACAATATCAGCCGCTGCCAAATTTTGAATTTTACAACTCAATTTTGAAGTTGATTTTGATTTTTTTATTAAAGTTTATTTTTCAGCATTGTTATTTAAATCGTTAAGAGCACATATATAAAAGTTTAATTACAGTGCTATTATTACTTATAAATTATTATTACAGTGCTATTATCCATACTTGGCCAAACGATGGGGCCTGTAGACCCGGTGCTATGGGACCGACCCACGGCGCGGTACTTGTTGCTGCCCTCAGTCTCACGTGGCCGGGCTGTGGGACCAACCCAGTGACGCTCAGCCAATGCGCGGGGTAGATTTCTTACCGGGAACAGGGCCTATCACAAGAATATTTTTTTTATTGGGACGATAACTCTGAAAAGAGAGATTTCCTATCTTTTCTTTCAACTCAGGAGAAATACAGTCGGGCGGCGCTAATTCGGATCCCTCGGGCAAAATAAGAACAGCACCCACATTCAACCCTCTCTTTTTCCCATTAGCAAGAACTTGTTGGTTGGTCCCGTTACTCCATAGTTTTGCGCCACATGACGTGTATATTTTCTCAATTTTCCTACAATCATGTCCATTTTTTTAAAAGGAAAAGTATATTCTCAAATTTCTTTCTAGTTATTGTGTCCATACTTTTTTTAAGCGTCCATTAACTTTGTTACCAGTAGGATCGGTATAGCTTTGTTTTATAGACCTTGTTAAGCTTTTTTCCCTTTTAATTGATCGGTGGAGCTTCTATCTCATGTTTAAAAAAATGGTGTTCAAATTTTCGAGGAGCTATCATTTGTAACATGAATTAAAAGAAATAATTTTGATAATGAAAAAAAAATACTTCCTCCGTTTCATATTACAAGACTTTCTAGCATTGCCCACATTCATATTTATGTTAATGAATCTAGACATATATGTGTGCCTAAATTCATTAACATCTATATAAATATGGGTAATGCTAGAAAGTCTTATAATCTGAAACGGAGGTAGTAGAAACAATTTCACAAAACAATATTAGAGTAATCCACCATAATGCCAAGCAAAATTGGCGGCCAGTAGTAGCATCCTCATCCTAGTCCATTCGTATGGTCGTATCCGATATCTTCTGTAGAGTCTCATGCATAGTTCATGCTCATTGCCCGAGGAAAATTAGATAGTAGTAATGCATAGGAACTGAAACATGGAAGTTATCTGTCACAATCTTATGCTGATTACTGCAATTTACAAGATGAAGCTTGCACGAGATTCTCAGCCCTGCTTTACCACAAGCTCCAGAAAATGACTTGTGTCCACATTTATAAATAATAGGCACTATCATGATGGCAAAAGTTATTAACACGAAAGTTATTGGAGTAATCAGTTCAACCAGAAGCAAAAGTTCCCCTTGTACCACCGGATGGTCCAGAGTATCCAAGCAAAATGAGACATCCACCATCACAATTTACAGCCAGGAATATGTGATCTTTAGCATTGAATAGTCACCGGTGCACAGTCCATATGCATCAAGGGATTCAGGGGCAAGCCAGCGCATAAGCTCACCTTTTGCCTACCCCGGCAAGCCGCCGGGCCAAAATTATGACTTTTTACTGTCCGAGACAAGAGTTGCTTCACCACATATATCGACAGCATTTTACTGTTGTCTCGCAGAAGGAAGAGGCTTCAGTTGTTTCTTCAATGTACAAAATGGTGTTGACAGCACCTTGGAGACATGTCAATCGATCACCTTGCCACCAGCCCATGCCGTCGTAAAGCTATCCTGCGAAAACTCCTGCAAGTGAAGCACAAGTTTAGCAAAGTAAAGGATGGAGAGAAAACTGGACGTTTTAACATGAGACAATGGAAACGTACAATTTGGCTCAGTCGAAATTCAGACGCATTTTCAAGCTCAAGATTTGTGCCATCTGAGGGGTCCAACCTCTGGCATTCTTCCAGATCCTTCTTCAAGTCCTCTACTGGCAACTGGGCATAAACAGCAAGACGGGGCTTTATCTTATCGGTTTCATCATCTCCACCGCCGCATGAGGTCTGGCTCTGACTCTGAAGGAACTCATCGCAAATCGCAAGGTTCTCTGCCAGTTGCTGAGAGTCTAACAGGAACTGGGATTCACCTTCCCACCATTTCGGATCTTGCGATGAGGGGTTATCTCCATCCTCAGGTTTCTCAGTAGCCATATGCGCAACATCTTCTACAGCGTTATCTTCGTTGTTTATTTCGCTAGTCTCTTTTCCCTGTACATTTGCCAGCAAAAGAAGGCACAACATTTATCCAATTCCCTTTAATATCATTATAAAGAAACTATATTGACATTTTCTTTGCTATGTCGAATTACCTGGAAATATGTGCTGCACATAGGGAAAAGGTGGAAGGGAAATAAAGAAAGCTTAGATGTTCAATTACCTGGTCAGTGATAGTTTCAGATTTCTCAAGAACTTCTAGTTCTTGGTTGGTAAAAACATGTTCTTCCAGGGGAAGTGGAGGAATATTTGGAAGATCTTCAGCAACTATAGATTCTAAAGCATCTGCAGAGGTTAAGTCCTGTGCGTTCTTCTCCCCAGGTTTAAACTGTTGCTGAAACAATAATTTAGAGACAACATACTGCCCTTCTACCTCATCTTCCCCAGTTCCTAGGTGGTACTGATGCATCACCCAATTGGTCTTTTCAGGTTTACCACCTTTCATGGTGCTCATATATAGCACCATGAATTTCTTACAACCAAGGTGTTTTCCATCAACTACTACTGGCCTTGTCTTACCAGTCTTGTGCCAGCGGACATCAGCAAGATCACCAGTGTTTATCTTCCGGCGCTTTCTTATTCCAGTATTATAGGCCTTAAATGTTCTATGGAAAAAGTGTGATACGCTTCCATCTTGCTTGACACCTGAAAAAGAAAAAAAAGTCAGTTGAAGAATACCACAAGCAATACAACAGAGGTACAAAAAACAACAATTTTCCAGTTAGAAACTGAGATTCCTATGTCAAAAGAAAGTAGAATTTGAATGCTCTATCGGAACCATTTAAGAAATGCAAACCAGTCAATGAGAATTACTTAGTTGTAGAGTGTTGCTGAGTGGAATAGTGAAAAATCAAGGGTTAATAAGCCAATAAAGAGAAGTAAAATAAGTAGCCTTATTGCCACACCCGCACTACCGCCAAACTTTGTGCATATGGTGTGACTAAGAAAATAAATACCAAAAGAAAACGGACCAAAGGCAAGCATTTGATACAAGCTGAAAAATGTGAATTTTACTCTTATATGAAAATAAAATTGGACTTCTCTTGCTCACCCCACGAAGAGAGAAACAAAAATATATATCCTTTCACTAACGGTTACCTGGAAGTTTCTGTGGATGGGTATAGCAGATACCATCATCTTCCTCGACTGTTGGAATAAATTCATCAATGAACGGATGAGCTTTTGCACCAACTTTGCCATGCTTTGCAAGCAAATGCCAAAGCAATTCTTGGTCAGTTGGATCAAACTTTACACCTCTTGGCAAACCAGGCCATTGATGAACAACCTGTGGTGAAATATTAATCATTAGAGGACTGCACTCAATAGCACACATTATTTATTAATACTGAGTGGTGTATCTGAAAGTATACACAAACAAAGCTTCGATGTTAGAGAGAAAGTCAGAGGACTTCAGAATAATATACAAAAGAGTCACTGTCAAAGTGATAAATAGTAAGTTGCTAATAGCAAAAATCCATTCATTTATTGATATAGGCGACTCGACGAAAACAAAGGTGCATAACAATGACACTACTCAGTAGGTGTTCACATGTAGTTTTATTTGATTGTTTAATCTGTTTAGAATGGTATAAAGCAGGAATGAAATACAAATGATATACTACGTGCGTATTTGGTTCTTATACATGATAAAAGAACACATCTCTTACATCACTGTTATCAATGATGTGGTTGCACCTTGGACAAGCCTTAGTTGGGTTGCTAACCCATTTGTGCTTACTGGCATCCACCGATCCAGATGCATTTTTTATTTTTGAAGCAATTCTATGGCTGTCAATTATCCAGGATGTCCTGCAGAAATATTGATTATAGAGTTAAGACAGATGAATGAAGCAGATTTGTTCAAGAACACTAACTGCAGGAACTCCCATATAGATCGGCATAATTAACCAGCAACACACCAAATGCAGGTAAAGGCACATCTAATATCATTAAAATGATCCCAAAGAATGATCCAATTAATCCTGAGGAGACAAGTACTCCTAAACCACGATTCAATCTACAACAAAATGTAGTTTCTCAGAACTGTATATCTATACTAATACCAATCATGCACCAGCTTACAAAAATCAAGAGACATTGATCTCCGGTATGGATGACAGGCATATGTTCAAAACTATGCTCTTCTGACACAATTTGAAATGCTGGTCACAATGATACGTAAACTAAGAACAATAGTCTTTTTTCACCATTTTGTGAAGGGTACTAAAGTAGGAATACAAGGCAGTGGGCAACCTCTAGCTTTCAGAGATGTATATGCATACCTGATGGCCCAAAGACAAGCTAACAATAGTAAAATTAGCAAAATTTCAACCCAAAGGCTATATCCAATGTCTTTCCAACAAAGATTTGATAAAATAGGTACCATACCACCAGAAATGGCAGAAAACAGGGAGATGCCTCCTTTCAACTATAATGAAGTGCAAAAACGTTGTACTTCTGCTAGACAATCTCAAACTTAACTGCAAAAGCATAAACTACAAACTAGTGACGATATTCAATCATTGCCCCCTCCAAAAAAAAAATTCTAAAAAACAGATCCCGCCTTTCATCTGAAACAGATAGCGACAAAATATTGTTCCACAATGCATGACATGATCTTATCAGCAGGCCACATATAAAGAAAAAAGGTTATCTATTGCTACCCACGACTATATGAATATGAGGAATTCAACCTCATCTTGGAGAGGTGTATACCCAAATACAAGCTACTAATAGTTGGCACATTTTAACTCAAAGGAGTAGTAACACCACTAGTGTTTTTTCAAACTAAATTGATATAATGGAGACCGCTATAACTAGCACAACCACGCTGTAGAAAGAAGCAGCAGCTAAACTAAAACGGTGCAACACCTAGCAGAACTGGGTGCCCTTCAATCAATTGCAAGAGAACAGAATGCATACGTAGTGCATAACTGCACCCCCACCACGCCCCCCCCCCCCCCCCCCGAAATGGCAAAAACAAAAGTATCTCCTTTGAACTAAAATCAATGCAGAAGCGTCATCCTTCTACTATACAATCACAGACCAAGCTACAAAAGCCTACAACACTACAAGCTAGTGACGAAATTCAGTCATCGCCTGCCAGAGAACCAAAAAAAAAAAAAAGACACAACCTTTCGTCTCACACCGAAGGCATGAGCACACTGTTCCACGAATGTATGACGCGGTCCGAACACCGGGCCTCATAAACAAGACAATGCATCTATATCAATCCAAAAAAAAAACAATAGAGAAGTCTGAGGATCCTGCGATAATCTCCATGTTTTCACTGTAGCACACAGCAAACTGTCCCCAATCCAAATCGCATTCACCAAACCGAAATGATAAACAACAACAAATCAGTGAGGATAACAGGGGAACGCAATCCCGCGAAACCCTAGAACCCAAAAGGACGCCTCCTTTGCATCCCGCCCAATCCCAAATCGCATTCCCTCCGATGACCTAGGGGAACAGCTCGGGGCAAGTGCTACACGATCCAATCAAGGAGTGGGGGGGCAGGCAGACGCACGCACCCGGTCATGGCGGCGCCCGCGCCTCCCGCCGGCAGACGGAGACCTCCCCTCCCTACTAGGGATCCGACGAGGGCGAGGCGGCGCACCTGAAGGTTGAAGCGGATGGAAGTAGAGAGACGATGAGTGGTTGGTCTCTCTAAATTTTTTTTTGAACCGGAGTTGACCGGCGATGGCGGCGGCGAGGACACACCAGCACATAAACCAGGTGCACGCGGTTTATGCTGGCATTGCTTGGCTGGACCGCGTCCATGGTGAGATGAATCGGCATCCGTTCGATTGCATTTTGGACGGTCGAGATGGCATGAAGTGCATGAGGTGTGTCCGTCCCCGTAAGACTTGAGAATCCGTGTGGGGCCAAATGTTGTAAACGGCCCATATCCAAGTTGGGCCAAATCAGACGATTAAGCCCCAAAAGTTAGCTCAATCTTTATAGAAGCCCAGGCCCGATGGTCCAACCAGCAACTAAGGCCGTGTTTAGGTCCAAAAGTTTTGGCGTGTGATATACAGAGATATATTTGAAGTATTAAACGCATACTAATAACAAAATAAATTATAGATTTTGTCTGTAAACTGCGAGACGAATTTATTAAGCCTAATTAATATGTCATTAGCAAATATTTACTGTAGCATCATATTGTCAAATCATGGAGCAATTCGGCTTAAAAGATTCGTCTCGTAATTTACACGCAATTTATATAATTAATTATTTTTAGGTTTATATTTAATACTACATGAATGTATCCGAATGTATCCAAACATTCGATGTGACAGGGTGAAAAATTTTGGCAGGGATCTAAACGGGTCCTAATGCTGCATATGGAAGGGGAAAAGGCACGTGCCTGAAATCTAGCAAATCCCCTGTGGAAAAATTGGCACCGGCCAACGTCGTCGTCGCCATTAATGTGATCCATGGTTGTATTACGTGGCATCATGCCTCTCCCCGCCATGTTGGATTTGCCTCCTCGATTTGCATTTGCATTTGTATTTCCCGCCTGAATTTTTTTTCTGTGCCCATGCGTTGATGCGTACTTCTTAACTTCTATAGTGCATATCTTTTTTTTAATGAATTGACGAGCGCCAATTTCATTGAATTGAGAAGGAGTAGCTTTACAAAGCGAAAGGAAAGAAAAGAAGCTTAGGACCTTTGGTCTGAGCTAACTAAAAGAAAACTAATTACGAAGATTTTTCGTTTCTGCTAAGGCCCAAGTTTTGGCCTCTTCCTTGATCTTGGCTAGAAGAGAGGTAGCTGAAAGCTCCTTTTGTTGGAAGGTTATGCGATTCCTTTCGTTCCATATCTTCTAGCCGACCAACAGCATCAAAGTGCGGAGTGCCTTATTGGGTGCCTCTTGTATTTTGGCAAGATAACTTTTGCAGGTGTCGTTCATCAATTATAATCTTTTAGGAGGTTTTCTTTCTCTGTTCTCTCCTCGTTGTATTCTCCGTGTATTCTGTTCTCCTATCCTCCAGGGCCCCTGCGCTTGCGTAGGTAAAGCTTGCCCTGTGTAAGATCATTTGGCTCAATATATTCAGGTGGGGATTCTCTCCCCCCCCGGTGATTTAGTCAAAAAAAAATCTATCACCGTCAAAGTTTGCCACCACTGACTAGGATTTAGTCGTCCGCACGCCGCCCGCTCCGCTAATGCCGCTAGATTCATTCCGCGAGGAGGTGCAGGGTTGTTTTCTGGGTCCGACAACATAAGGGGCAGATGGAACCATTTGGCCAACCTCTGGTCGCCAACTTGGCGAAGGTCCAGACTCTGTTTTGGATGACACTATCATATATTCACTATGGTTAGTAAGCTTTCATGTTATATTGTCCTCCTCGTGCTCTACCATGTGTAGTGCGTTCCAAACCCCGATAAGTTGGTCAATCAGGTTTGTCGTCCAGCCCGCATTTCCTTGCAGGTCCAAGTCGAGAAGCTATTGGTCCGCTTGCGAAGCCTGCTGAAGCGTTCTATTCTTTTTTTTGGAGGCTGCGTAGACAAGCGGTTGGAGGTATGTCTTTCTCAGCCGGCTTGTAATCAGGGGGAGACCCAGATATTTCATAGGCAAGTTTGCTATGATTGCTGGCGTGTCCTATAGGATGTCATCGAGGTCCATGTTATTGCACCTGATTGGGCCACATAGGATTTTTGGAGGTTCGTGCATAAGCTAGTTGCATGTCTAAGAGCAAGTTCAATAGTATAGCCAGCTAGCTACTAGCTCCAATTCATCTATAGTCAATCTAATAGCTCATCTATACAATAGTTACATATTACACTATTAATACCTAGTCCCATCTGTCATACACACACTGTGTCTTGGAGTCTGTGCTACAGCTGGCTACAAATCTGTAGCCCACTGCCATTCTCTCTCCTCATTTATCTTCTTAAAATATGTTTGCAGCTGGCTTATAGCCTGTTATTGTACCTGCTCTAAAGTGACCAAGGAAATCAGTGAAGGCTTGCACATTGTACACCGTGTGTGTCGTGAGCTCTGTTCATGGCGGCCGTGCAGCTCGACTCCGGCCTGCTCATCGGCTTTCTCTTCTTGGCGACGTGCTTGGTCGTCGCGGTTAGGAGCTACCTGAGATCGGGCGGCGCGGACGGTGGCCGTGGTGGCGCGGCGATCACGTCGCCGCCGGCGTTGCCGGTCATCGGCAACCTCCACCAGCTCGGCCGCGGGCGGCACCACCGGGCGCTGCGCGAGCTCGCGCGGCGGCACGGCCCGCTGTTCCAGCTCCGGCTCGGCTCCGTGCGCGCGCTCGTCGTCTCCTCGGCGTCCATGGCGGAGGCCGTGCTCAGGCACCAGGACCACGTGTTCTGCGGCCGGCCGCAGCAGCACACGGCGCGGGGCACGCTGTACGGCTGCCGGGACGTCGCGTTCAGCCCCTACGGCGAGCGGTGGCGCCGCCTCCGCCGCGTCGCCGTCGTGCACCTCCTCAGCGCGAGGCGGGTCGACTCGTTCCGCGCCCTCCGGGAGGAGGAGGTCGCGTCGTTCGTGAACCGGATCCGCGCGGCGAGCGGCGGAGGCGGAGGCGTCGTCAACTTGACCGAGCTCATCGTCGGCCTGACCCACGCCGTCGTGTCGAGGGCGGCGTTCGGGAAGAAGCTCGGCGGCGTCGAGCCGGCGAAGGTCCGCGAGACGGTGGGGGAGCTCGCCGACCTGCTGGGGACGATCGCAGTGAGCGACATGTTCCCGCGGCTCCGGTGGGTGGACTGGGCGACGGGGCTCGACGCGAGGACGAAGAGGACGGCGGCCAAGCTCGACGAGGTTCTCGAGATGGTGCTCCGTGACCACGAGCCGAGCCGCGGGGACGACGACGACGACGACGGCGACGGCGAGGCCCGTGACCTCATGGACGACCTTCTCTCCATGGCCAACGGCGGCGACGACCATGGCTACAAGCTCGACAGGATCGATGTCAAGGGACTCCTCATCTTGGTAAGTTCTCTCCAATTATCACCAATCAAATAATCATGCTAAAATTCGTTTCGATTTCTTTCATGTCGCATTGCAGGACATGTTCGCGGCAGGCACGGACACAGTCTACAAGTCGATAGAATGAACAATGGCCGAGCTCATCAAGAACCCAGCAGAAATGGCGAAAGTGCAAGCAGAGGTGAGACATGTCGTAGCAGCTGCACACGGAGGAGAAGGAGACGAAGACGCCGTCGTCATCGTCAAGGAGGAGCAGGCGAGCAGCTGGGGAAGATGACGCTCCTCCGGGCGGCGATGAAGGAGGCGATGCGCCTCCACCCACCGCTGCCGCTGCTCATCCCGCGCGAGGCGATCCAGGACACGGTGCTCCACGGCCACCGCGTCGCGGCGGGGACGCGCGTGATGATCAACGCGTGGGCGATCGGGAGGGACGAGGCGGCGTGGGAGGACGCGGGGGAGTTCAGGCCGGGGAGGTTCGCCGACGGCGGGGACAACGCCGGCGTCGAGTACTACGGCGGCGGCGGCGACTTCCGGTTCATGCCGTTCGGCGCCGGCAGGAGGGGGTGCCCCGGCATGGCGTTCGCGACGCGGCTCGCGGAGCTCGTGGTGGCGAACATGGCGTGCTGGTTTGAGTGGGAGCTCCCCGATGGGCAGGACGTCCAGTCGTTCGAGCCTTCGAGGTCGTCGAGTCGAGAGGTTTGTCGCCTGGGCTCATCATCCGGGAAAATTGGAAACCACGTATATGTAGTGCAAACCACTCGTATGTAGTGGAAACTTGGAAACTATCGTTGGATCGAGAAATGGTAATTTCTAAGTTTCCACTATATATGTGGTTTGTACTATATATTTTCCCAATCAACCCCTTGGTCCTCACCGCGAAACCTCTGTAAAAAAATACAACTAGTATTTTGTTCAACTCGCCTGTGTAAACACATAGTACTACCTCTGTCAAAAAAAAAAACACCAATCTAGATGGAAGTGTGATACCACCTGAGATTATCCGGTTCATTATAGGTGATGTCACATTTTTATTTAGATTTGTTTTTTATCGGAACGGAGGAAGTAGTAACATTTACAACTATGCTAAGCTTTATGATTACCACTAATGATGATATGATGTATCTACCTATTTATATTTTCTATAATAAAGTTATAGTCCGCTAAATTTACAACTCAACGCGCAACAATAACACATCATCACTCACTATCAATAATTACATATTTAACATAATGCAAGCATACTTCATCTACAATTTATTTAATTCTATAAATCAACATGTAACCATATCCAATTATCAACCATTACATCATTTACACAATATTTTAACAAACCTATCTATCATTTTTATAATATTTAAATTATACTTATCAATATGTTTCACATTAAAGTGCGGGTATCATTTGTTTGTTTCATGATAAGTACTGATAAACCAGAATTTCATTTTTTTTCATTTTAACTCCTATATTCATTGTCTCAAAATATATATTGAGAATTGTTTAGTAATTTTTGCAACAAAGTGCGGGAGATCACCTAGTAGTTTAATAATGGGGACATATCCGGTGAAAATGAGCTAAGTGTTGAAAACTCGTGAAAATCATACCTAAAAGTTTTGTAAATTCATGAAAAAAATATTAGAGATAGGTGTAGATATGAAATACATTCTCACCAAATCTCAAGTTCAAACTCAACTTCGTTTAGAAGTAACAAAAAAGACAAATTTCAGGTGAATAATAACAGGACACTATTCACCTGAAATTTGTTTTTTTTGTTTCTCATAAACGAACTTGAGTTTGGAGTTGAGATTTGGTGAGAATGTATTTTATATCTACATCTATCTCTAATATTTTTTTCATGAATTTACGAAACTTTTAAGTATGATTTTCACGAGTTTTCAACACTTAGCTCATTTTCACCGGATATGTCCTCTTTAATAATAGTACAGTTCACGCAGCTTTACTCCATTTCCAGTTTTTCATATGTGGGTTGAATTAGTGGACCTGAGTATGGAAGAACCAGGCCAGCCCGTAACCTACCTACTGGACCAGCCCACCAAGCTGCAACCAGATGAAAGCACCGAAAACGGGCCAAATGATGGCGACAGAGATGAAGACACCTGACATGACGCTGTCGCCGTATGACGAGGTGAACCTGATCATCACAGTACAGCGCACAGGCACAGCACACGGCGCCAAAATCGTGGCAGGGCGAGCGAACAGAAGAGCTGTGGTACACTGGTACTCCGTACTGGAGTACTACTTCAGTATGCATGCACTGATACACGCCCAGCTATTGGGCCAAGTGGCCAACAGCTCGGAAGAGAAAAGGGATGAAATAGTGAATGAGCAACGGGGATTGCCTGTAGTAATGCTGGTGTCCACACGTCAGCCACTGCTACTGCACCAGTAGTACTGTAGAGGATCTGCACTCGTGAATGAGCCATCTCTCTTGCAATGATAATTTCTACACAAATCTATACTAATATAAAAAAGGAGGAGTTGCACCCTCTAATCCTACATGCCAAATCATCTGCATTAATCCCTACCATCCATCCTCATTTGCATCGCCTCCGCATCGTCTAATCCCTAATCCGTACCGTCCACCCACGATTTTACCCCCTCCTCCACCACGACCGCGATTTTCGCCCGTCCGAAGACTCCGCCTCCGCGCCTCCTCGCTCCTCCTCACGTGTCCCCGCCGCCGCATTCCACCAATGCCCTCGCCGGAGTCGGAGCCGAAATCTTCCCAACAGGCCAACACCGCGCTCGCTCTTCCGATCTTCCAACGCTGTCGAGCTCCCGTCAACACCACCATTGTGTCCACCGCGCTCGCTCTTCCCTTGCCACCACCGACGCCGGTGCTGGCCCCTTTTGACTGTCACTGTTAGAGCAAGTTTAATAATATAGCCCACTACTAGCTCCAATTCATCTATAGCCAATTCATACAATAATTGCTTACTATACTATTAGTATATGGTCCCACCTGTTATACACACATTGCATCTTGGAGTCCGTGCTGCAACTGGCTACAGATATGTAGCTTGCTGCTCTTCTCTCTTATCTTTTATCTCATTAAAATATGTTTGTAGCTGGCTAATAGTCTGCTATTGTACCTGCTCTTAGGATTGACCCAGTCTGGGCCTCTTGGGTCCATATAGGAAGGATAAGTTCACTCTAGGTCCCTCATTTTGTCGTCGAGCCTGGAATTTGTCCTTAATCGAAATACCAGATATAATGGATCCCTTAATTTATAAAATCTGATCATCCGATATCGTAGACAGTATCATGCTCGGCTTTTAGCTGACGTGGCAAGCCGAGTCAACGTGGGACCCATGCGGGGCCCACATGTCAGTGGCTAACACTCTCTTCTCCCCTCTCTTCCCTTTCCCCTCTCTTCTCTCTCTCCCCTTTGCCCTGTAAGGTGACAACTGTCGGGAAGGACGGCATCACGAGTGGCGGGGAAAAGGGGCGGCGCCCAACGGTCAACGGGAGAGGAGAAGGACGTCACTCGATAGAGAGAAAGATGGCATGGAGAAGTGTGTGGTGGCTTGCGGCCTTCTCTCTGGTGCCTCTACCCGCCGCCCTCTCCATCTTGACTCCATCCGCGTCCCCGTCAGCCGTTGAGCAAGGTCATTGTCGATGTCGGGTCTGTCGGTAGCACACTTAGCTGCTTGAGCTACGCACACCGAGCTTCTTGACCTCCACCTTGAGCAACTTGAGGTACCTGACGGCCTTGTGGAGGACGGTGGGCGCGTCCATCTTGCTGCCGCCAGGATGATCCCCTTGAGTGTTCGCATAATATTCTTCATCTGCTCCTTCTTCCTCTCATCACCTCCGGCGCCGGCCTCGAGCTTCCGACCACCACTGTAGTCGGACCTCGACGCGTCGATGCTCACCCCGTACCTGGACAAGCACGTGGAGTCCGACGAGCCCCCAGCTCGGCACCCTGGCATGCGGCCCGTGCTCAGCATGGCCTCCTACTCCGTGCTCATCAGCGCGTCGTTCTTGTCCGTGATCAGCATGGACTGTAACTCTATATAGTTTGCTTAGACTCCACTGCTATTTCTTTCTGGCTCTTTGAGACGTCCCTCTCAGGCATTCGGTGAACACCCTCCACGCGTACCATATGGCCCCGAACCTGACGAGCGTGCTCAGCATGGTGTTCCTGAGGCAGAGAACCAAGCTCGGGTGCTCGGCATCCACATGCGCACACCCTGCATCCCACCGTCGACCGCGCGGTGCCATTCGCGGAGCCGGAACAGCGCGACGTAGGCATCCTCGTCGGGCGGCTCCGAGGAGGACTCGAGGAGCCAGAGCGCGCCTGCGCCAGCTGGCCATGGCTACAGAGCACCCGCAGTGTGGTGCTCCTGTCGAAGTAGGTGGCCTCCGCAGAAGCGGTGGCTGTGGCGATGCGCTGGCGAGGTTGGAGGAGAATGTCATGGTGAGGTTGTTCTCCCAGAGATACGTTCCGAGATCAACCTTTCCGCTGTGTTCGTCCATCAGCTTCCGCACGGTTTCCTTCTCCTCGCCGGTGAGCTCCAGATTGCCAGTACAGCTCCTGGACAGTGGTTTTCCCTACCGTATATACTTGGCACGGCCATGATGCCGTCCATGGTTTTCCCACCGCTGCCGCTCCAACGCCCACCCTCTCGCCCATTGCCACACCACTCCGGCTGATTGCCAGCGTCGCACAGGCAGCTGCAGTCGAAAGGGAAGAGAAAGGGCAGAGAAAGAGAGAGGGAGGGAGGGAGGAGGAAGAAGTATAGATGGCCAAAAGGCCCGAGGCCCGACGGCCCGGCCCATGGCACGGTATTTTGGCCCGGCCCAAGCACGGCACGGCCCGACGGAGGTCGGGCCCGTGCCGGCCCGGCCCGACCATCGGGCCGTGCCTGGGCCCCTCCACCGGCACGTTGGCTCGGCCCGGCACGATGGGCTGGCAGCTAGGCCCGGTACAAAAAAAATAGGGAAGTAAAAATAGACATATTATATGCCATGAACGAAAGAATAGGGATCTAAAATAGACTTTTTTATCTATACATATGTCAGCCGAAGAGGAGGGACAGAAAATAGACTTATTTTAGGTATACATATGTCAGCCCAAAGAGGAGGGACGGAAAATAGACTTATTTTAGCTATACATATGAAATAGTCCAAAGAGGAGGGACGAAAAATAGACTTATTTTAAAAAAGGCCCGATGGGCCACCCATGCCTTCGGGCCGGCACGGCACGGCCCGACAACTGGTGGGCCGTGCCTGGGCGGGAGGTGCAGCCCATGGGCCGGCACGCCCCGGCACGAAGTGCCTATCGGGCCGTGCCGGCCCGATTGCTGCTGGGCCGTGCTCGGCCGTGCCTGGGCCGGGCCATGCCGGGCGGGCCCTTTGGCCATCTATAGGAAAAAGGGGATGAGAGAGAATGACACGTGGGTTCCACATATTTTTTTAATGACAAATAGGTCCCACATATTTTTTTAATTCTAATGACACAAATGTGTCACGTCAACGCCACGTAGGACGAAGACCGGGTCAACATTGCCACGTAGGCATCACGTCAGTGAAATCACCCTCCAAAATTACCGAGGGAGTTAGATTGCATCGGTTTTAATAGTTAGGGGTTGAGATATTCGGTTTTGTGGTTTAAGAGAGTCAAAATGAGCTTATTCCTCCACACGTCCACACGGGGCAATCTTGTTAATTGGGCCATTGTTTCTTTGGAAAAAAAAAGATTGGGCCGGTCGGTGCTGGACCTGCTGGTCCATTTTGTCACTAGAGCTCGACAAACACCTAATAAAATATTGCGGATTTTAGATCATCGGATGCTTTAAGATTCATGCAGTACGACATAAACCTAACCACATCCCTCACACCAGTGTCGCACGAGAATCGGGATCAAGCGCTACTCACTCGATGTCCCCCCCCCTCTTCTCAAGTCAGTAGCGGTGAGGTACCCCGCCCCACCAGCCCCCATCCTCGTTAGCTCCTAACCACTAGGAGAGGCGGATCTAGGATATTGGATCAATGGTGTCATCGTTAAATCATAACAATTATCGTAGTTTCTAACAAAGTAATAATATACATGAAAAGTAATAAGAATAATGATAAGTAGTAGAGTTAATAGGTGGAATAATGTAGATGAACTTGCATAATAATTCAAATAACCAGCAGTTAAACATCCAGTGATCGCATGGTACTAAAACTAAGTTACCATCCTGAAAAACCACAAACTATATACTAGATCATACTAGATACATATATGCAAAATAAATAGCACCACAAGTATTTTTTTTCTACACAAACATAATATTACAAATGAATATTAAAAACCTTAGACCAGGTGTCCGTACACTATCCAACCGGCACCAAAGAACAACACTTAACAGCTCGGAGCCTTAGAGCCCCCAAAATCTCTAGAAATAAAATACCTAAACCAAATAAATTAATAGAAGTTTTTAAACATTATTTAGGTGACATGTTATATAAATGTAAGTGGAAAAGAAATTTGTTTGCAAACTGAATGGGAAGTTGGAAAAATTCATTGAGATGTTGGGATATGCGTTATTGATTAGACACAACATGTTCGGCTGCTCACTGCCAACAGCCCAACAGGCAATAGCTAGCCGGCTGGGTTGTATTAGCTAACTTTAGCCGAAGCAATTTAAGCAAATGATGGGCTTTCATGGCTGCTTCCATGGACGTGGTGGTGTCAAAGGATAAATCTCACTGGTGTCATCCATCATATAAAATCTATAGTTTTTGCCGTTGCAACCACAGCCGTCCGGCACTGTACGCTACTGTTTTACTGTTTCACTGTTGCATTACGCCAGGAGCCGTTCGATTGTTTGCTTGACTGGATCCAGCCGTTCGTTTTTTCCTTCTTTGCAGCCGCTACCAGCTCCCAGATATTCCTCTGGTCGTTCGCATCTACGCCGCCGCCGCCGCCGCTGCCGCGGCTTCTAGGTTTTCCATTCCCCATCCGCTCCCGCGACTTCCTTCGCGTCTCCACCGTCGCCGCTCCACCGTGGGTTCTTCACCGCTCGCCTTTCCCCTCACCAGATCGATATATCCCTTTCACCCGCGCAGTCTCCATCGCCGCCGTTTCTTTGTCTCTCTACCCCGTCGAGCCGAAATCGCTGCCATCGCTGATTTCCACACAATCTTCTGCTACGGTCGTCCTCAGCCATCGGCCCGCTATTCTATCAAGGCCTGCTGGCGTACATCTTCATTGGCTGGACACACCGTCCCCAACGGGATCGACGGGTGCCCACGGCTGCAGGTCTGCCCGCCCCTTCACCGCTAGGTGCGTATGTTTCGTCTCCGGTCCATCTCTCTCCTCTCTGACTTCTGAGTGCTTGACTAGCTTACCATGTTGTTGCTGTAGTTTGAACATAGGCCAAGCTATGTTTCGTCCTCAGCCATAGGCCATCTGCTCGGGGGTAATGGTGGGTGCCCAGTTGGTGAGGTTCCATTGCATCATTTTGTGAGTTACTTGGTTAGGGTGTTGGTGTTTATCTTGCTTTCACATGGTTCTGAAATATTGCTTATCATGTTTTATTTATCTTGATTATACTGTGTTGCTTTTGTCTTTGTCATTCTTCAGTTAAGAATGGTTGCTGCTTAGCTGCTAATCTATAGTTTATTTTAGGCTCAAGGGGATTCACTGATATTAAATCTATGCTTACATTAGCTATCTGCTTATTATGCTATGTTTCATGCCGTGTTTATCTGTACTTCCGGAACAATTTAACCATGTTTTTACAACTAACACTTGTTCTCTTCGCCGCTCCTATTTTGCACCCAGATCCTCACGGCTCACTGTTCGACAGAGCGAACCGTGCGAGCCCGCCTTGACGGGTTCAAAAGCCGTCTTCGGGCCAAGGATGATGAATTAGGCCGCAAAAATTTGGAGATGGAGGCCCTTGCGAACACCCTTAAGGAGGCGAAGGCCGAAAACAAGCGGCTCCAATCGGAACGGGAGAAAGGGAAGGAAGCTAGGGCCGAAGTCGATCTCTTAAAGGCCGAACTGGAGAAAGAGAAGGCCCACTCCGCCGTGCTCATAGATTATTACAACCTCACCGAGCCGAAGATGGAGGCTCTTCGGCAGGAGGTTCGCAAGGCCGAAGCAAGCGCTACGGAGGAGTCGCGGCGGTTTTCGCGGGAGATGGTGAAAACCACCTAGTCCGCGCGGACAGCGTGCCAAACGCTCCGCCTCGCCATTACTGATATGGGCGCAAAAGTGCAGGGTGTCCCCTCCGAAGATGCCTCAGCCTTCGACTTCTCCGAATGGACCCAACAGGCTGGTGGTTCGGTTTCGGACTGCGCCACCGCATACGGCGACTGCTGTGCGCGCGTGTCAGCGGCCTTTACCATGGGCCTCCTGCAGCAGTTCGGCTGCGAGCACATCGCCGAGTTCCCCAAGTACGCGAAGGGGGATTGGGAAATCAGCGCGCAAGACATTTCGCCCGCACTTCGTGCGTAGCGAAAACAATTCTGGCAGAAGGATGGCCGCTCCGCCGCTAAGGCGCGCCTTTTGGAGCAGCTGGTGAAAGCAGAGGCGGCGGACCTTTGTGAAGAGGAAGGCGCGGCGGCCGGAGGGGGTGGAAGCGATGCCCAGGACCACCCAGAGGTGTGAGGCCCTCCGCCCTTCTCTTAGATTTTCATAGTTTTCTTTTGGTGTTCGCTAGATGTGGCGAACCATTGTATATTCGGCAATCTGCCGCAAACCCTTTTATTGTAACCGAAACAGGTGGCCGTTGGGCGTTTTTAAAATTTGTATAACAGACCTACTTTTCGCCATTTACTGTCGGTCCAAGTCTTTGACATATTATTATTTCGCTCATTTCGCATTATGCCATACCTCCCCCTTCTTCCGCCTATTCCTACCATGTAAGCTGTGTTTTGCTTTTTTCTGCACTGTCTATGTCACATCCTGATTTTCGTTTCAGGATTTATAAATTATTTAATAAATTATTAATAGAATTTATATTAAATGTTCTTTAATTTACAAGTGAAGTTAAATGTGGGAAATAAAATTTCCTAAATCTAAAGCATGGATGGATTTAATTTTTATTAAATTCTCCATGATTAATTATACTCTCTGAAATTTTCTCGAATTTTTCGGAGCTCAATTCCTAAATGATACAAAGAACAGTTCAGTAATTATTTGATCAATAATGATCTAATTATAATTATTAAGAGCTTTTCTTGTTTAAGAATCCTTAAATTATAAATTGTTGTTTAAAAGGAATTATTAGAAATGATTTTAAAAGCCTAAAAGAGAAGATCTAATTTTAATTTGTTAAATCTCAATATAAAATTGGGCTAAATAAAATTTTGTTAAATACTTTGCTTAATTCTATAATTCCTAGATTTTTCTGGGATTTATTTGAGCTAAGGAAGTATTTTTAATAAATGGAATTGCATTTCATGAATAATTTAAATTGAAAAAGGTTTTAAAAGTCTTCTTTTGGCTTTGGGCCGAAAGCCGGCCCAAAACCGCTCTCTCTCTCCTCCTCGGCCCAGTCCGGCCCAGTCTGCCGAGCCGCCGCTCTCCTCTCTCTCTCGCTGTCGCTGACAGGTGGGGCCCGCCTGTCGGACCCGTCGTCTTCCTCGCGTCGGCCGCCGCCCGAAACCCTAGCCGAGCCACGCCGCCGCCGCTTTCCAAATTCGGTCGATCCTTTCCTTCTCCGGCCGAATTGATTGAGGGGAAACAATCTCCGGGATCTCCTCCACCTTTTCCCTTTTGGAATCATCCTCTACTTCGGTTTGGAAATCGATGGATTCGAGTTTGTTTTGGATTCGTTCTTCCCGAAGTTTCCTTCGCCGTCGCCGGTCGCCGTGGGCCTTCGCCGCCGCCTTCCAACCCCTATATAAGGATCCCCGAGCTCTCCTCTACCCGTCGCCTCCTTTGCCTTAGCCTGCCGTCGCGTCTAGCGCCGCCTCCGCGTAGCCTAGTCGCCGCCGTCGTTGCCGTCGGTTCAGCCGCGTCGCGCCGCCGTTGCAGCCGTCGTCGTCGGTCGCCGTCGCCACCATCGGGTTCGCAAGGTCGTCGCCGTCCCCGTCCACCGCTTCGCCGCCGCCGAAGACCGCCGGAGCGCCGTCGCCGTCGTCAAGCCGAAGAGCGCCGCCGCTTCTTCTTCGTCGCCGTCGCCGTCCGTTCCTCTTCCGCCGCTCCTTTGGTCACCGGTGAGTTCGCCGTGTCGTCCGCTTCATCCCGGTGCTTTCCGTTCTCGTCGTCGCGCCGCCGTTCGCCGGCGAGCATGTGCGTCCGAGCCGCCGAGCCGCCGCCGCCGGTGGTGACGTCATCACTGGCGTTATCGTCCCTTCTCCCGTGAGCCGGTCGTGGACCGATCGATCTCGGCCGTCCGTTTTGGATCAAGTCGATCTCGGCCGTCCGTTCGCGTGAACCGTCGCCCGTGCGCCCGGTCCACCGAAACCCTAGTCCGCTGACGCAATAATCCTCTTTTCCTTTTCAAAAATAATTCATTATTGCGTCATAATTCAATTAAAATCCATATAAAGGTTTTAATCCGATTTAATCTTTAAAAATTCATAACTAATTCATTTGAACTCAGTTTAATGTGGTTCAAGTTGCAAAAGTTGTATAAAATAAAGATCTACATATTAAAATTGTCCATAAATTGAATTAAATTTATTTAATTCTTTTTAAATGGGCTTTAATTAGATTTAATCTTGTAAAATTCATAATAAATTCATTTGAAGTCAGAATGAGGCCGTTCAAGTCTCATAATTCATCTAAAATTGTAATCTACATGTTTGTTTACTTTTTATGTACTGTTTATTTGGTTTTTATTAGTCTTTTTCTTCGTTTTGCGTGTTAGCTTGTCGTTTCCGTCGTTGCGAAGGTTCGCAAGTGCGCCGGAAGTATTCAAGAAGATTAATTGAAGACCGATTATTGCAAGGCAAGTCACACAGATCCTAAACACAATCCTTTGAGCATGTTGATCCTATATTTAAATTCTCTATATATTTCAACTGTGCATTTATTTTCGAATGTCACTGGGTGGTGTGAACCTATTCCTTTGTTATGGCCTGTTTGCATTGATTACTTTATTCCTTGATACCTTGGGTTATTATAACTTGACTAGCTGGGCTTTATATATTGGTTCAGCTAGATATTAGATATGATTGCTTAGCCATGCTTAGAAACATTAGCACATAATTGGGATAACTAATGTTTCACTATCACTTATGGTTATATTTAATGGTATCTCACGATGGTCAATCGTGATTGGTTAATTAATTACTTGCCAACTAAAACTTGATAATGGTGGGTTGTGAGCACATGGTTTTGAGAGTCGTGCTCATGACAATTAAGGACTGGTTCGCGAGCTACTGTTGTGGAACATTAACCGTGCCAACCACAAGCCAGTGTGGGCAACGGCTTTACCTTTTGTATAGCATGGTTCATTGCGGAGCACCAGACTGAGAAGTGGCGGAGATAAGCCCACGGGGGTCGCTGGGGAGTCCATGCCTTGTTTATAAGGGGGTGATTATGATCCAGGAAGGTGCGCTGTGGTGGATTGTGTTATGCAAGGGGTAATGTCACAGCTCCTTTCCGAGGTACCGTGGTGGTACTGAGGCAAATGGTGACATGATGTGGAGCTGTGTCTTGTGGGTACAGTGGTACACCTCTGATCAGAGTAAAACTATTCGAATAGCCGTGCCCGCGGTTATGGGCGGGTTGAGCAATGTTTTTCGTGATTAGTCTCACACCTCTCACAATAATTATAGATGTTATACCTGGTAATAATTTGCTTAGCTCCTGGTTTGGAGTTAGATCTGTACAGCCGGGTATGGTTGTTCAGGATGGTTGGGCCTGTGCAGCATGGGTGTGCTGTTCAGTGTTGATTAAAATTTCTGATTAATTACTCCACTGTTTTACTTCTCTTAAAAGTTTTGCTAAATGCTGCTTTTGCAAATGAGCCAATATTATGCCATCCTTTGGTATCCTTGTGCACTTGCATATTTGCTGTGTGGCTTGCTGAGTATGTCATATGCTCACCTTGCGATAATCAATCAACCTCAGTTGAAGAAAAAGGATCCAGAAGGAGAAGACGTTTGGCTTATACCCCAGTTGAGCTGCCTGTGGGAGTGGAGCCGGAGCTTCGCTAGATTTTATTTTCCGCTGTAGTTTTCTTCATGTTGAGGACTAAGTGCCTCTTAAGTAAGTATTTATTCGCTTTAGTTATTGATGAATCTGTATATTAAATTGTCAGTTTGTGTACCTCGGCTGATTCCTGGACGAGGATTTTATGCACAAATAAGTTCGGAAATTACTAGTGAATTTCCGGGCGTGACAGTCTACCAGGGGGTTCGCCGAAAGTCGTGCATTCGGCCTCCTTTCGGGAGCTGGCGAAGTCAAACCGAGAAATTTGTGGCGTTGAAGGGTCTGCCGAAGGTGCGATGTCCATTTCGTCCTACTTATCGCGAAATGGAGATAAACGGTCGCAGCTATAAGGTTTTCAAGGTTGCCGATTGGCTGCGGGCGCACCCCGGGCGAACCTTAGAAGATTACGATCTTGTTCATTCAAGACGTTTGGAGGATATGGCTCGCTTTTGGCGAAACCATCAGAAGACTAAACGTCAGGAAACGATCTTTCAGCGTCGTTATAGTTTAGTCTGTGTTTCGCCCCCTACTCCTCTTAAGGTTGTGTATGATATTAGTAGTGATGACGAACCTAGTTCGCCTGACCCTTCCTTAGGGAGGGATAGTGATTATGGGGGCGAAGATGTATTTTTACT